TAATCTTTAATAATCTTTGATAATCTTGAATAATCTTTAATAATCTTTAAAAATCTTTAATAATCTTTAATAATCTTTGATAATCTTTAATAATCTTTAATAATCTTTAATAATCTTTAATAATCTTTGATAATCTTTAATCATCTTAAATAATCTTTAATAATCTTTAATCATCTTTAATAATCTTTAATAATCTTTAATAATCTTTGATAATCTTTAATTATCTTTGATAATCTTTGATAATCTTTGATAATCTTTAATAATCTTTAATAATCTTTAATAATCTGTAATAATCTTTAATAATCTTTAATAATCTGATAATCTTTAATAATCTTTTATAATCTTTGACAATCTTTAATAATCTTTAATAATCTTTAATAATCTTTGATAATCTTTAATAATCTTTAATAATCTGATAATCTTTGATAATCTTTAATAATCTTTAATAATCTTTAATAATCTTTAATAATATTTAAAAATCTTTAATAATCTTTAATAATCTTTAATAATCTTTAATAATCTTTAATAATCTGATAATCTTTAATAATCTTTAATAATCTTTGATAATCTTTAATAATCTTTAATAATCTTTGATAATCTTTAATAATCTTTAATAATCTGATAATCTTTGATAATCTTTAATAATCTTTAATAATCTTTAATAATCTTTAAAAATCTTTAATTATCTTTAATAATCTTTGATAATCTTTAATAATCTTTAATAATCTTTAATAATCTTTGATAATCTTTGATAATCTTTAATAATCTCTGATAATCTTTGATAATCTTTGATAATCTTTAAAAATCTTTAATAATCTGTAATAAATTTAAATAAACTTAAATAATCTTTAATAATCCGATAATCTTTAATCATCTTTAATAATCTTTGATAATCTTTAATAATCTTTAATAATCTTTGATAATCTTTGATAATCTTTAATAATCTTTTATAATCTTTAATAATCTTTAATAATCTTTAAAAATCTTTGATAATCTTTAATAATCTTTAATAATCTTTAATAATCTTTGATAATCTTTAATAATCTTTAATAATCTTTAATTATCTTTAATAATCTTTGATAATCTTTAATAATCTTTGATAATCTTTAATAATCTTTAATAATCTTTAATAATCTTTGATAATCTTTAATAATCTTTAATAATCTTTAATAATCTTTGATAATCTTTAATAATCTTTAATAATCTTTAATAATCTTTAATAATCTTTGATAATCTTTAATAATCTTTGATAATCTTTAATAATCTTTAATAATCTTTAATAATCTTTGATAATCTTAAATAATCTTTAATAATCTTTAATAATCTTTAATAATCTTTAATAATCTTTGATAATCTTTAATAATCTTTGATAATCTGAGTTCGTTACCAAAGAATGAAGACCAGAACTAAAGTTAAACTATAAAATAACACACCAAGTCAAGTCATCGTAGATTATTGATTGAGACAATGGAATCTTTAAACACGTCGATTTCAAGAGCACCACAGCAGGAAGAGCACCACAGCAGGAAGAGCGCCGCAGCAGGAAGAGCGCCGTGGCGGTGTGGCGGTGGGACGTATTTAGGATGATGATGATGATGATGGTGTTCAATGACGTGTAGAAACAGGCTGTGGTGTGTGATGACAGGCGAGTCAATTTAGCAGCAGGAGACGTCTGTTTCTGCTGATTGGTCTGGTGGGAGGAGCCTAAAGAGACGCTGCGTGACGTCGTTTTCCCGCCTGTAAGCTAATAAATAAAAGAAGCTAATGTAAGCGACAACAAAGAGGGTTTCTGCCTCCCAGTTTACACTCCTCTAACTCCGCCTCCTCTAACTCCGCCTCCTCTAACTCCGCCTCCTCTTCTGATTTGACCTTTTCTTCATAGTCATGCCTCATATTTTCAAACAGCAGAGTTGAGTTGAGGTTTATCAGCACCGTGGGTCCAGTAAACTGTTCTGGTTCTGAGTTCAGGAATAACTGATTGAATAATGAATTTATAGAGGGGGATCAATAATCGATCAGCTGTAGTGTGGGGCTGATGTTCAGGTTCATCAGTGATCGTCTCCTCTCAGACGTGAGGCCTTCAGAGTCTCTGCTGTTGTTTTCAGTCTGAGAGAAACTGAAGGAAAGTTCTTATAGGGGCGAACGACAAGCTGGGACAGGACCGCAGACACACACTTAGACTCACACACACACACACACACACACACACTCACACACACACACACACACACACACACACACACACACACACTCACTCTCAGAAAGGTAGATGGGATCAGGACGTTATGACAGTTATGTGGTAACCTTTTAAAACTGATAATAAACTGTCCTGCACTGACACACCTGGACCACATGTTCATGAACCAGAACTCCTCAGACACAGGAGAGCTTTGATTATTTATTCATTATCTTTATTTCATTCAACAGTCAGAGCTGAGACACTGACGCTGAGTCTGACTCGGAGCTTCAGTTTAAGGTCCTCTGATAGTTTTTTTATTCATCAGACAGACCTTCACCAAAACTCACAAATTCAACTACAAAAGTTCAACTCTAATCCCATCTAACAATTAACATACCAGCATGAAAACATTTTCATATTTAAGTCTGAAAACGGACAAAATATCAAACTCTCAAAACTTTGAAATCCACTTCACTGTGCCGTAAAAGGACGGGCCGAGATTCATGTCGTTTTTTTAACTCTGATGTAGTTTTTTAAGAACTCTGATGTAGTTTTTTTTTAACTCTGATGTATTTATTTTAACTCTGATGTAGTTTTTTCAGGTCTCTTTTGTCGTGGTTCTGTGCCCTGATTTCATTGTTCCTGTTCATTGTTATTAAATCACAGTCTCATGTCTCTGTTCTTCATCTGTATACTGTCAGACCTTCTTCAGCTGACCTTTGTAGACCCGGTTAGAGACCAGGTGTAAATATTTGAGGCCTGTTTTGTTTTAGTTTAGTTTCCTTCGGGCCGTCTCCTCCTGTAAAGCTCACTGACTCTGACCGATCATCACAAAACTCTGCAGTTGAAGCAGAAACAGTTTTTTTTCACAGTTTCTGTTCCTCACATTCTGCGGCTCACAAAGTTAAATTTGCATATAGATTAGCGATGACAGCGTTTCTAAATTTCCACACCTCCTCTGAGTGTAAATGTCGTCCACAGATGTTTTTATCCCTGATCCACTCCTGACCTCCGAGAAATAAACCCGTAAACCCTGAACCTGCAGCCGTCTGTCAGCAGAGATCTAACGGTGAGTTTATACCACCCACATCGACATTCAAATCCTCCTGACGGCTTTAGGAAGAGTTACGACACCAAACCGCCCTCAGCACACACACACACACACACACACACACACACACACACACACACACAGACAGTGCGTGTGTGTGTGTGTGTGTGTGTGTGTCTTTTCGATATATAGATCTCCATGTTTCTGTGCGGTAAATTCAAAAAGGTCTACAGTTGTGCAGCTGAAAGAGAAAAAAAAATACAATAAAACACAAAAGGTGGAATAAAAGTGTAGAATGATCAAATAAACACACACACACACACACACACACACACACACACACACACACACACACACACACACGTGTTTGTGAAAAATTGGGGAAAAAAGTATTAAAAGTTCAGAGAAAACAGAAAAAAGATTGAACGCTGACCAATAAAAATAAATACAATAGAAACACCAGAAAATATCAGAAAAAAAATCCAAATGACAAAAAGAAAAAAAAAACAATTACATAAAAAAAAAAAACAGTCCAAAAGTTTCCAAAAGATGAAGAGAAGAACAAAAGAGGGAAAAATAGTTTTGGGAATAAAAAGCAGAAATGCATTTTGGGATATTAAAGAAAGTTTTTTAAAAGGAGAAAAAAAAAGTCCTTTAAACAAAAAAAGAAAAAAGTAAGTGGATAAAAAAAACAGGTTAAAAAAGCAAAGAGCAGAATAAATCAGAAAGGAGCTGGACGAGATATTTAGAAAAGAAAAACATTTTAAAAATTAAAAACAAAAAAATCCAAATACACAATAAAATCAAGAAGTCAGAAAACATTTAAAAAAAAACAAAAAAAGAAAAAACATGTAAAAAAAAAAATCAATGTTAGATTTAAAAAAAGAAAAAATAGACAAAAAGTGGAGCGACTGAAAAAAAGTCCAAATAAAAGATTCGAGTTTCATCTGAGTGTGTTTGACCCAATACACCTGAGACACACACACACACACACACACACACACATTCATTAACACACACACGTACAGGCACACTCACTGTGTTTATTGTGGAAATATAGATCACTTTCAGCTGTGTGTGTGTGTGTGTGTGTGTGTGTGTGTGTGTGTGTGTGTGTGTGTGTGTGTGTGTGTGTGTGTGTGTGTATCCTGAGGGCAAAGATGTCTGAGGATGTGAGTAAAAACAAACGGCACACTTCTGCTGCTTTTGACCTCCTCAATCACACACACACACTCATTAACACACACACACTCATTAACATATACACACTCATTAACACACACACAACCACACTCTCTCTCTCTGCTGGTGTTGTGTGTAAACAGAGGACCCTGTCAGACGTCTGTCGGCTGTATTGATCAGCTGATGGTATCTGATAGTCAGAGTGTGCCGCCTGTTTACGTTACACACACACACACACACACACACATCAATGGACGACATGATGGCTAAACACACAGTGGGGAGACACACACACACACACAAAATAACACACACCTGACCAGGTAAAGTCAGAACTGTGTATGAGCTGCGCTGTGATTGGTCTGTTCTCTAATTAAAACTCTGAGGCTGTTTGAGTCAAATGAGCGATGAACGGATGAATATAAACTGAACACTAATGATGAACGGATGAATAAGAACTGAACACTAATGATGAACGGATGAATAAGAACTGAACACTAATGATGAACGGATGAATATAAACTGAACACTAATGATGAACGGATGAATATAAACTGAACACTAATGATGAATGAATAAATAAAAACTGAACACTGAAGATGAACGAATGAATAAGAACTGAAAACTGAAGATGAATGAATGAATGGAAACTGAACACTAATGATTTACTTTCCTGTATTTCCAGTATTTTAGCTTACAGTATTTTAATTTAAAGTATTTTTACAGTATTTTAATTTAAAGTATTTTTACAGTATTTTAATTTGAAGTGTTTTACAGTATATTAATTTAAAGTGTTTTTACAGTATTTTAATTTAAAGTATTTTTACAGTATTTTAATTTAAAGTATTTTTACAGTATTTTAATTTAAAGTGTTTTTACAGTATTTTAATTTGAAGTATTTTTACAGTATTTTAATTTAAAGTATTTTTACAGTATTTTAATTTGAAGTATTTTTACAGTATTTTAATTTGAAGTATTTTTACAGTATTTTAATTTAAAGTGTTTTTACAGTATATTAATTTAAAGTGCTTTTACAGTATTTTAATTTAAAGTATTTTTACAGTATTTTAATTTGAAGTGTTTTTACAGTATTTTAATTTAAAGTGTTTTTACAGTATTTTAATTTAAAGTGTTTTTACAGTATTTTAATTTAAAGTATTTTTACTGTATTTTAAATGATGACAGTTGGACTCTAACGCTGACTCGTCACTCCTCCGTTGTTTAACCCTCTCACTGCTGATGTCGTTGTTGTCGTCGTGTTCGGGTCCCTCAGATCTTCAGCCGTTACTTCACTGACCGTGGGAACTCTGAGCGCTGACTCAAACCCTCTAATCTGCTCCATCTGCTCAGGAGACTGCTGAGTCACTGAAACACACACACACACACACACACACACACACTGAGAAGAGATCACATGACTCAGCAGATTCTCACACACTCTGTTTGCTCCGTTTGTTTGTTTGATTGGTCGGTCGGCATCTTTGCGTGTGATTGGCTGATGTCATCACTTCTTGGCAGGTGGGAACGAGGAGGACGAAACTTTCTCGACTCCAGAAACTCTGAACGGTTCTGCTCACCTGAACCTGACCCAAGGATGACATCATCAGCGACTCTCATTAAAGCTGTTGTAGATATTTTCACCGACTTTATTTCAGTTCCTGTCGAGGACCGACCTTCAGATTTGGACGTCTCAGATTTATTCTCGTTAATTCTCATGAAAGTTTGAACATTTACAGACTTTTGTAACCCGACTCCTGAAGAGTGTCAGACAGCAGGGGGCGTGGTCAGATGACCAAACCTATGAATCAGCTGACAGATGATGTCACAACAAAGAGAAACCCACTCGGGTCTGAGCAGAACTTCTGGTTGGACCACGTGGACGTCTTCAGAACTCTTTGGGGTCATGATTGGACTGAAAGTGTCCTGCACCACCGTGTCCAGCCCCCTGTTTCTATTATACCTAATCTGTGAACAAGGTCCAGACCTGGACCTGGTCCATAAAGACTCATCACAGAGAGGAGACCAGGACCAGGACCCGGACAGGGACCCAGAGTAATTGTCAGGCTTAGTCAGGACTCAACAGTTCGACCGTTTCACTGCGACTAAAAATAGATGAGTGTGAATTCTAAAATGTTTTCAGGGTCATAATAAAAAAAAAAGAATAAAAAAAATCAACAAATGTTTTTCCTGTAAATACGGCGGTGAAGTTAGTTTCAGGTTGGATATATTTTCCTGTAAATACGGCAGTGAAGTTAGTTTTAGGTTGGATATATTTTCCTGTAAATATGGCGGTGAAGTTAGTTTTAGGTTGGATATATTTTCCTGTAAATACGGCGGTGAAGTTAGTTTCAGGTTGGATATATTTTCCTGTAAATACGGCGGTGAAGTTAGTTTTAGGTTGGATATATTTTCCTGTAAATATGGCGGTGAAGTTAGTTTTAGGTTGGATATATTTTCCTGTAAATACGGCGGTGAAGTTAGTTTCAGGTTGGATATATTTTCCTGTAAATACGGCGGTGAAGTTAGTTTTAGGTTGGATATATTTTCCTGTAAATATGGCGGTGAAGTTAGTTTTAGGTTGGATATATTTTCCTGTAAATACGGCGGTGAAGTTAGTTTCAGGTTGGATATATTTTCCTGTAAATACGGCGGTGAAGTTAGTTTCAGGTTGGATATATTTTCCTGTAAATACGGCGGTGAAGTTAGTTTCAGGTTGGATATATTTTCCTGTAAATACGGCGGTGAAGTTAGTTTTAGGTTGGATATATTTTCCTGTAAATACGGCGGTGAAGTTAGTTTCAGGTTGGATATATTTTCCTGTAAATACGGCGGTGAAGTTAGTTTTAGGTTGGATATATTTTCCTGTAAATACGGCGGTGAAGTTAGTTTCAGGTTGGATATATTTTCCTGTAAATATGGCGGTGAAGTTAGTTTTAGGTTGGATATATTCTCCTGTAAATACGGCGGTGAAGTTAGTTTCAGGTTGGATATCTGACGGACATTCTCTGAGGATCTACCGGTGTCTTCTCACTCTCCATAACCAGGAATAACAACAGCAGCGCGGTTAAATCTACTCGACACCCTCACTGTCAACGTCGGTGTTGAATAAGGGACCGTCAATAAATTACCGGTTGATGTTCTCAGAAAAGGCTGTTTTCCTTCCATGTCATGTGACCAAAAGACCTAAAATTGATAGTACTAAGGTCGACCAATAAGACAAACATTATTGATCAGTTTTATTGATCCTCTAAAGTTCTTTGTGTTCCTAACTTTTTTAACTCAGGAGAACATGTGAACAGAGTTAGAGTCGAACCCTGGGCCGATGACATTTCTAACAGACTCCGTGTTTCAGAGTTTATTTATAAAAACAAAAGTCTTCAGTTTAAATTTATTTTTTTTATTTCAAAGACACTTAAAAAAAACTGACAGATTTCAAACATTCAAACAGATTAAATAGAAACAGGAAACAGTTTTTTTTACAGCTCAGTGCGTCTGTCAATCACCCCCCTGTGCGAGGAGGTCAGTCTTCGTGTAAACGGGTCTATCCTCTGGGGAGTCACAGCTGGAGAACCAGAGAGTCCAGGGGGAGGCCGTCAGAGAAGAGGCGCTCACACTGGGCCTGGAGCTGCTGCAGCTGATGGGCGTCCTGGAGCTCCGGAGGAAGGAGGCAGGGCGCCGTCTGCAGGTCGGCGTACAGCGGGGGGGAGCCGGAGTGAGGGTCAGCAAGGAGGGAGGAATAAAGGGGAGGGGAGGAGCTGCAGGAGTCCCACCGCGGCACCACAGCACAAGGTGAATATGAGGAGGCGTAGCCCTGAGGAGGGGGGGCGTGGTCAGGTACCTGCATGAACATGGAGTGGGAGGAGTCAATGTGAGGAGGGGGAGGAGCAGGGAGAGAGTCCTGGGGGTGACACAGGAGGCCGCTGACGCTGTGCACTGGGGGCTCAACGAGACCGCCACCACTGCAGTGCCTCCTGGGAAGTTTAGGGCTGGGCTTCAATGGGGAGGAGTCAGAGGGGGAGGAGTCAGAGTGGGAGGAGCAAGGAGGCTTCTCCTCAGAAGTGATGATGTCAGACTTCCTCTTCCTCTTTCGGCGAAAGTTTCCGTTGTCAAACGATTTCTCGCAGTTTGGATCCAGAGTCCAGTAATTTCCTTTACCTGGGGGGGAGGGGACATGAATTATTAACCAATCAAAAGAGTCCATGTACCAACACTTCCTGTTTCACCAAACCTCCTTTAAAAAACCTCGAATTCTGTTTCTACCAGGAAGACGATTCCAACATACTTTTTATCCAACTTCAGAAATTATAAAATACTTTTTAATATAAATTATAAAATTATTTTTATAAAACTTAGAAAATGATAAAATTCTTGTTTTTGTGAATCTTTGGTCTGAAACTCTTTTTCTTTAAACTCGGAGGTTTCACTCAGACAGATTCCAGTTTCTGTTTTTTTCTTCTGAGTTTTATTAAAGTTTTTAAAGTTTTTAAAGTTTTTTTATTTTCTTTTTTATTAGAAACACTTCTGTCTGTTTTCTGACCTTTCAAAATAAAAGCCCTGACTCTACACATGTAGGTTTTCTGAGGACTGATGATCTAAACAGACTCAGTATCTCCAGCACAGGTGTGTGTGTGTGTGTGTGTGTGTGTGTGTGTGTGTGTGTGTGTGTGTGTGTGTGTACAGGTGTACAGGTGTGTGTGTGTGTGTGTGTGTGTGTGTGTGTGTGTGGGGGGGTCTCACCTGGGTCGGACTCGTCTCGGGGAACCTTCCTGAAGCAGTCGTTGAGGGACAGGTTGTGGCGGATGGAGTTCTGCCAGCCCGCCTTGTTGCGGCTGTAAAAGGGGAAGTTCTCGGAGACGTACTGATAGATCTGACTGAGGGTCAGCCGCTGCTCCGGGGCGCTCTGGATCGCCATGGCGATGAGGGCGGAGTAGGAGTACGGCGGCCGGACCAAACAGAGCACATCATCAGAAGAGGAGAACCAGGGCCCGCCGGGGAACAGGGGCCTCTGGAGGCCGTAGAGGTGAGGGAGGAGCACAGGGGGGAGTCCTGGGGGGGCGGGGCTCAGGTCCAGGCCGTTAAAGCAGAGGGACGCCTCGCCGTGGTTATTCTGGGGCCACAGGGTCGCAGACTGGACCGGATCAGGAGGAGCTGGAGGACTATAGAGGCTGAAGTCAGACGGGTCCGACCCCAGAGAGGAGAGCTCCTGCTGGGGGAGAGAGCGAGCGAAGAGGGGGGCGGAGAGACCGGGCTCCACGAGGAAGGACGCCATGATGACAAACGACTCTTCTTCTTCTTCTTCTCCTTCTTCTTCTTCTTCTTCAGAGCGCTCCTGTAAACACGTGACTGTCCTGCTGCTGCACCTGAACTCCTCTGAACACCTGAGAGCTTTATACTCTGAAGCCCCGCCCACAAACTACCTGATTGGTTACTGTGCTGTCTCCCTTTAACACACACACACACACACACACACACACACACACACACACACACACACATTTAAATGCAACTCTGTGTGTGTGTGTGTGTGTGTGTGTGTGTGTGTGTGTGTGTGTGTGTGTGTGTGTGTGTTTTGGGGGTTGATTTGAATGAAGTCTTTCCCTCAGGCCGATCAGACCCTTTAATGCTGAAGAATGTAACACACACACACACACTCACACACACACTCACACACACACACACACACACACACACACTCACACACACACACACACACACACACACACACAGGCTGATCATGAGTGATTGATCCTCTTCTTCAGTTTTTGTCTGATGAGTTTTTAAAATCAGAGTAAATTTCTGATAAACAGCTGATTATTGATTATTGATCATTCAGACCTGATTGATACGGTTTTTACTAAAGCAGGATTCCCACAGAGACGTTCGATTTACCTGAATTTAATGAAACCGGATTAAATTTAAAATGATTTAAACTGAATAAAAACTGGTGATATCGGGTCAGGACCCGTCCTGACGGGTCGGGTCAGGACGGGTCAGGACGGGTCAGGTCGGGTCGGGTCGGGTCGGGTCGGGTCAGGACGGGTCGGGTCGGGTCAGGTCATCAGAACTGAAGCAGCCGTCACAGATTGTGTGAAATGGTCTTTGTGGACCTCGCTGGTCCACACAGACCAACATAAATCCTGACCGTCATCCTCAGTTCTGGGGTTCCTGACTGGATCCAGGTCCGTCTTTTAATCCAGTATTTCATGTTGGCTGGTAACACTGAGACCCTGACCCGGTTTCCTCAGTCCAGACTATCAGAGTGTCAGTAACCGCCGACCTGCTCCGGTTCTGAAGTTCTTGGAAGTTCATGTGTCTCTTTGGTTGGTGGTTCTGTAAGCTGGTCCTTGTGGGTCATGGTAGACTCCCTCCTGACTCAGACCTGGATCGGTTCTGCTCTGAAGGTTCAGGTCTGAACATCTGAGCTGCTTCTAGAAAGTTCCTGTTCCAGTGAGGACCGGGTCAGGAGTTTGGATTTGTTCCAGAACTTTTTTAACCCTTTGTTTAAATGTGTGTATTTGTTGTTGTTGTTGTTGTTGTTGTTGTTGTTGTTGTGTATTTGTTATTGTTGTGTTGTTGTTGTTGTTGTATTTGTTGTTGTTGTGTTGTTGTTGTTGTGTTGTTGTTGTGTATTTGTTGTTGTTGTTGTTGTTGTTGTTGTTGTTGTTGTTGTATTTGTTGTATGAACCTCCTCAGGTTCTCCGTCACTGGAGGACCAGCAGACCAGTTTTTGAGTTTGACTTTATTAAAGAGGACCTTCTGTGGACGGTAGAGAGATCTGAGTGAGTCTGAGCTCCTGTCTCTCCGTCCGTCCGTCTGTCTGTCTGTCCGTCCGTCTCTCTCTCTGTCTGTCTGTCTGTCCGTCTCTCTCTGTCTCTCTCTCTCTCTCTCTCTCTCTGTCTGTCTGTCTCTCTGTCTGTCTCTCTCTCTCTCTCTCTCTCTCTCTCTGTCCGTCCGTCCGTCTTTCAGAGCTGCAGAGATGTTTGAGTCCGTCTGTTTGCTGACTCGGTTCTTCTAGAGAGCAGAAAGTCAAAGTGAAAACAAACAGACAGAAGCTGTTTGAGGTGTGGCCCTGTACTATTGTCTTCTAATCACACACACACACACACACACACACACACACATACACACACACACACACACACACCATTTGAAGTTAAAGGGATATTCCTAATTTAGGGTCAAACCCACCGTAACCCTAAGTTAGACCCCGCCCCCTCCAGAGATGAATGTTGTCGACCGCTTCCTTCTCTAGTTATACCAACTTTAGTAACGACCGCAGGATAGAAATACAGAGAGCCACGCCCCCAACCAAAACGCCACTCTATAGCCACAAATAATGCTCAGAACAGCACCTAACTTCATCAACAGGACATATAGGGTCACAGACATAGTACTAGACACCAAACATCTTTTTAACTTTGACTCATTTCTTTAGCAAAGAGACTAAACACAACTCACCTACTCTCTTCCAGCAGACGCTTGTTTGTAGAGAGACCTCAGGCCAGTCCATTACAGACTACAGCGGGGTGCCGCAGCTCAAGGAAGAACATTTATGATCATTTCTTCATCATTTCCTTGAAGTAATAATCACCATATTAATCATTTTACAGACGCGGTAGTTCTTCTGTCTTAGCGTCTCGGTCTGATTGTATTTCCATGACGAAATGTGTGTGTGTGTGTGTGTGTGTGTGTGTGTGTGTGTGTGTGTGTGTGTGTGTGTGTGTGTGTGTGTGTGTGTGTAAGATGGCAGTTGGCAGTAGCAGCAGTAATCTCAGCCCCGCGGTGCCTTCACAGGCGACGCAGACAAAACAATCCACAGTGTCTGATCTCTAACTGACAGACGCTGACTGGGATTAGATTATAGAGGGCTGTGAGAGCAAAGGCTCATGGGAAAATTAACAGAAGAGAGTCAACTGTCAACCTGAGTCCAGATATTCAGTCGTGACCACAGAGTCAAGATAACATCCGCTCACGCTGCTTTTCTCTAAAGTCCAGCAGGGGGCGTCTTAGTCTTTTTACGCTCAGGCTTTAGAGTCACAGGAGAGTTTGTGGAGGGACTGACCCACCCCCCACCCCAGAACTCAGACCAGAACTCAGACCAGAACTCAGACCAGAACTCAGACCAGAACTCAGACCAGAACTCTGCAGATGTTTTCAGGAGGTTTTAATGAAGCAAATACTGACAGCTGACACCTTTACAGAGAAACACAAACAAACAAACAAACAAACAAACAGACAAACAAACAAACAAACAAACAAACAAACAAACAGACACAGTGTTTCAGGATCAGAGCAGCAGGACGGACAGTTTGATTTCCTGAAAATAAACGTTTATTTATGCGACCACACGGAGCTGCTCGACTCCTGAACTCCTGAACCGCGGCGGGTCGTTCTGTCGGACTTTACAGACATGAAAGAACAGAGTAACCCCCAATTTTCTGATCGATAATTATTATTATTATTAATTAATAAACGTTACACTCAGAGGGTCTCGTCTTCAGTCCACAGACAGAATCACAGCAGCTGACGGAAACCCTGAAGGGACAAATTCCTGCAAAGAGCGACAGCAAATAAAGAAAGAACATGGCGGAGAGCGACCACGTCTGAGAGCGCCGATGAAGAAAAGAAAGTGTGTGTACGATCTGTCGCTCAAAACTCAGATACCGACGAACTGAGAAACTACGTTAGCCTAACGCTCGCTAAAGATCGCAGTTAGATGACGTGTGACATGTTCACGTCCTAAAAGTGACGGATCCTGGAGTCTGAGGCGAGACGGCAGCGTGAAGCGAGGACTGAACGGGTCCGTAAATCTGGAGGCTGGAGCGTTTCGGTTTACGACGAGTGAAGACGAAGAGAGGAGAGACGGCGTTTATCGGACCGTCTTCACTGACGCAGATTTACACGAAAATTCAGGACGGAACCTGTCGTGATGATTCGTGATTTTGAATCAGATTAAATCGTAAACAGGATATTTGAACCAGATCATGAGATCGATGAAAAACCGGATCCATGAAACTTCGACAGAACAACAAACAGGAAACAGGAAACACACTCAGTCCGGTTCAGTCCAGGCTGATGGATCCGGTCAGGACCAGTTCTGTCGGGTCACGTTGAACCCGGCCGGGTCAGACAGCAGGCACTGGTTCTGCTGGCTGGAGCGTCGATTTTTGGCGTCGATGAGGAGAAGAGGAGAGCGGGAATAATGACCGATGATGTCACTGACGGAGGGGAAGGTCTGCGGACACACACACACACACACACAGACACACACACACACACACACAGACACACACACACAGACACACACAGACACACACACACACACACAGACACACACACACACACAGACAGACACAGAGACACACACACAGACACACACACACACACAGACACACAGACAGACACAGACACACACAGACACACACAGACACACACACACAGACACACACACACACACACAGAGACACACACACACACACACACACACACACACACACACACACACACACAGACACACACAGACACACACACACACAGACACACAGACACACACACACAGACAGACACAGACACACACACACAGACACACACAGACACACACACACACACACAGACACACACACACACACAGACAGACACACAGACACACACACAGACACACACACACACACAGACACACAGACAGACACAGACACACACAGACACACACAGACACACACACACAGACACACACACACACACACAGAGACACACACACACACACACAGACACACACACACAGACACAGACACACACACACGTACTGTTATAGGGGTTTTCCTGGTACGTTTCTCGCCTCTCTCACTGAAGATCTTTGAGTCTCTGAATCTTCTCCAGAGTTTTTCTTGAACCTTCTCTGAAGGTCACAGGAGCTCTAAACCTGCAGCTCCTCCACGGTCGCCCGTCATGTGACCATCACGCTTACCTCCTGGACTTTGAGTCCGGTTCCCAGCAGGAACTGGTGGTTCTGCTGTCTGATCTGGATGTTGAAGACTTTGTCCTGGTAGAAGACCATCAGGGTGAACGGTTGGTTGGCCAGCTGCCGCGTCGAGTCCCTCACCAGATACGCCCCGTCCTCCACACACACACACACACACACACACACACACACACACACACACACAGGTATTTTTAGATATATGAGGGGGGGGGTCTTATCCACACCTGATAACTTCCTAATCCAGTACTCCAGGATTAAAGTACCTGTACTGTAGTACCTGTACTGTAGTACCTGTACTGTAGTACCTGTACTGAAGCTGCTGAACTAAGAGGTCGTTGACCTTTAGTTACCTTGTTGACTCTCTTCAGACATCCCTCCGCCTGACCTCGGGTCACTTTACCGACATACCAGCGAGGGTCCAAGTCCTGCACAGAAATGACTGATGATTACAACCAAAAACAAGGAAACAGCTCCACCTGCTGGTCACTGTGCGCAACGAACACAAAAACACTGAAGAGGAGCTTCATGAAAGGTCACTCGAGTTCATTTCAGCTCCATAAAAGTTTATTAAAGGTCTTCTAATTTTATTGAAGTTCATTTCAGTTTAAGTTTATTTAAGTTTATTAAAGTTTATTAAAGTTTATTTAAGTTTATTTAAGTTTATTAAAGTTTTTATAAGTTTATTTAAGTTTGTTTAAGTTTATTAAAGTTTATATAAGTTTATTTAAGTTTATTTAAGTTTATTTAAGTTTATTAAAGTTTTTATAAGTTTATTTAAGTTTATTTAAGTTTATTAAAGTTTATATAAGTTTATTTAAGTTTATTTAAGTTTATTTAAGTTTATATAAGTTTATTTAAGTTTATTTAAGTTTATTAAAGTCCATTAAATTCACTAAAGTTCATATAATTCAAGTTTATTTAAGTTTGTTAAATTTTATTTAAGTTTGTTTAAGTTTATATAAGTTTATTTAAGTTTATTTAAGTTTATTAAAGTCCATTAAATTCACTAAAGTTCATATAATTCAAGTTTATTTAAGTTTGTTAAATTTTATTTAAGTGTGTTTAAGTTTATTTAAGTTTGTTTAAGTTTATTTGAGTTTATTAAAGTTCATTAAATTCACTAAAGTTCATATAATTTAAGTTTATTTAAGTTTGTTAAATTTTATTTAAGTGTGTTTAAGTTTATTTAAGTTTGTTTAAGTTTATTTGAGTTTATTAAAGTTTTTATAAGTTTATTTAAGTTTATTTAAGTTTATTAAAGTTTATATAAGTTTATTTAAGTTTATTTAAGTTTATTTAAGTTTATTTAAGTTTATTAAAGTCCATTAAATTCACTAAAGTTCATATAATTCAAGTTTATTTAAGTTTGTTAAATTTTATTTAAGTTTGTTTAAGTTTATATAAGTTTATTTAAGTTTATTAAAGTCCATTAAATTCACTAAAGTTCATATAATTCAAGTTTATTTAAGTTTGTTAAATTTTATTTAAGTGTGTTTAAGTTTATTTAAGTTTGTTTAAGTTTATTTAAGTTTATTTAAGTTTATTTAAGTTTATTTAAGTTTGTTTAAGTTTATTTGAGTTTATTAAAGTTTTTATAAGTTTATTTAAGTTTATTAAAGTTTATATAAGTTTATTTAAGTTTATTTAAGTTTATTTTTATTTAAGTATTAAGTTTATTAAAGTTTTTATAAGTTTATTTAAGTTTATTAAAGTTTATATAAGTTTATTTAGTTTATTTAAGTTTATTTAAGTTTATATAAGTTTATTTAAGTTTATTTAAGTTTATTAAAGTCCATTAAATTCACTAAAGTTCATATAATTCAAGTTTATTTAAGTTTGTTAAATTTTATTTAAGTTTGTTTAAGTTTATATAAGTTTATTTAAGTTTATTTAAGTTTATTAAAGTCCATTAAATTCACTAAAGTTCATATAATTCAAGTTTATTTAAGTTTGTTAAATTTTATTTAAGTGTGTTTAAGTTTATTTAAGTTTGTTTAAGTTTATTTGAGTTTATTAAAGTTCATTAAATTCACTAAAGTTCATATAATTTAAGTTTATTTAAGTTTGTTAAATTTTATTTAAGTGTGTTTAAGTTTATTTAAGTTTGTTTAAGTTTATTTGAGTTTATTAAAGTTTTTATAAGTTTATTTAAGTTTATTTAAGTTTATTAAAGTTTATATAAGTTTATTTAAGTTTATTTAAGTTTATTTAAGTTTATTTAAGTTTATTAAAGTCCATTAAATTCACTAAAGTTCATATAATTCAAGTTTATTTAAGTTTGTTAAATTTTATTTAAGTTTGTTTAAGTTTATATAAGTTTATTTAAGTTTATTAAAGTCCATTAAATTCACTAAAGTTCATATAATTCAAGTTTATTTAAGTTTGTTAAATTTTATTTAAGTGTGTTTAAGTTTATTTAAGTTTGTTTAAGTTTATTTAAGTTTATTTAAGTTTATTTAAGTTTATTTAAGTTTGTTTAAGTTTATTTGAGTTTATTAAAGTTTTTATAAGTTTATTTAAGTTTATTAAAGTTTATATAAGTTTATTTAAGTTTATTTAAGTTTATTTAAGTTTATTAAAGTTTTTATAAGTTTATTTAAGTTTATTAAAGTTTATATAAGTTTATTTAAGTTTATTTAAGTTTATTTAAGTTTATATAAGTTTATTTAAGTTTATTTAAGTTTATTAAAGTCCATTAAATTCACTAAAGTTCATATAATTCAAGTTTATTTAAGTTTGTTAAATTTTATTTAAGTTTGTTTAAGTTTATATAAGTTTATTTAAGTTTATTTAAGTTTATTAAAGTCCATTAAATTCACTAAAGTTCATATAATTCAAGTTTATTTAAGTTTGTTAAATTTTATTTAAGTGTGTTTAAGTTTATTTAAGTTTGTTTAAGTTTATTTGAGTTTATTAAAGTTCATTAAATTCACTAAAGTTCATATAATTTAAGTTTATTTAAGTTTGTTAAATTTTATTTAAGTGTGTTTAAGTTTATTTAAGTTTGTTTAAGTTTATTTGAGTTTATTAAAGTTTTTATAAGTTTATTTAAGTTTATTTAAGTTTATTAAAGTTTATATAAGTTTATTTAAGTTTATTTAAGTTTATT